CGACGAGTTCTGTCACATTGGTGATGTTGACCAATAGCAGCACAGAAGCTCTTTCATACACAGGTTTCAAACATAGTGAAACAAAATAATTATGAGATGGAGGAAAGGTTCGTGGAGCTGTGGCAACAGTACTCCTGCCTGTATGATGTGTCATCGAGGGACTACCACGACAGAACAAAGAAAGAAAAATGCTGGCGAACTATAGCGGAAGCGCTTCAGCAATGTTTACACTCTTGTTTTCGGAAGTCAGTCGCTAGTTCCGCCTTCTCGATGACATCACGTGCGTCGTTAAAGACGGCACGCAATGAATGGTCGGGAAGCAACGTGTAGTCTGACATGTTTCTTGTCCACGACATGACAAGGTTTTAGGAGTCAAAATCGTGTAATCTGGCACAGTGACTATCATGACCGACAAAAATATTGTGTAGTCTGAACCCGGCATTAGAGGGGCGTAGCCGATGGCAGAATGTTTGCATCATGGGCCTACCCGAGTCCATTGAAGGTCCACGTCCAACGATCTTCTTCTCCCAACTTCTTGTTGAGGTTTTCGGCCATCAGATTTTGTCGTCGCCGCCTGAGCTGGATAGAGCTCACCGAATCCCTGCTCCCAAGCCTGCTTCGGGGCAGAGACCACATTATTATTACGGTTATTCTGCGGTTCTAACGCTACCAGGTGAAGGATTTGGTTATTCGCGAGTCCCGTAAAAAAGGCACCCTGAACTATCAAGGCCACACGATTCGGATCTTCGAAGACTATAGTCCTGATGTCCTGAAGCTGCGCGGTGAGTTCAAAGATGCCATGGTGGAACTTTACAAACGCAGACTCAAACCTGTGGCCTGTAGCACAAAGCCAGGTTCAGTTTTTACCCAGGTAAATTCACGTTTAGTTTGAGCAAACTCTGAGTTTTCGGGCTCAAGAAGGTGGGTTGGTTTTTAGTGGATTTCGTCGCCATGGTAACTTACGCTACACGGCAGGTTTTATTCTGGGTTAGAGATCACAAACCCAAACTGGACCAATCAGTTGTGAGCAAGTGACATATATCTGATGCAATGAAGCCACTCCCCCGTATCTCTCACTCCAAATTAATGCAGTTTACAGTCAAAGAATTTTAGAGACAAAATTGGCCGACTTTTGCAGCAACTTATTTATTATATTTATATTACATTAATTGTAATTGTTTATAATTTATATAATATATTCATATAATTATTATATGAAAGTGCATTACCGCCACCTATCTCTCAAATGGACCATTTCTCAATTAGGAGTGTCAATGGTCCATTTGAGAGATAGGTCACCTACTGTCACCTACCTCTTGGATGCCCTGGGGGTAATCAGATAAATATCAAATTTTCATTTTTGGGTGAACTATCCCTTTAATCTTCAGCAGAAAAGTGAATTGCGCTGACTCTCGCGAGAAGTGAATCCAAATGACGCTTTGCTGATGCTCTCCACACGTTCCCTGTGATTGGCTGTTTGCTGCACGTGTCAAACGTTTAGGTGCACACGCTCCAGAGTTAATCACAAACTCTTGTTCAAACTGAGTTGGGAGAGAAGGATTATATCGATATGTTTATATTTATATGTGAGCCCAGTGAACCTGATCTTAACCAGCTTGGCTTTATCGGGTTTTGTCAACTCAAAACTTACTCTGCAACTCTGAGTTTGTTCATCTCGCTTCGTGCTACAGGCCACTGCTCTCCTCTTCCCAGCCAGATTATGCATCACACTTGCTAACGGTGAGAAAATGTGGTTGCTATCTGCTTCTGAAGCCAACAACTTCGTTTGGAGTTTAGAAGCACAATAGTTTACATTGACGCTTTGGACCGCAGCCAGTGACTCGGGTATCTTAATGACTTCAACTTACGAATTTTAGTCACAAATCGGTCTGGTCAGTGTTTTTTTTCTTTTTTTTCTCTCTCTTCCTTCTCCTTTGGCTCATGTTAGTTTAATTAACTAACTTTTTGTTTTGTTGTTTAACGCATCTGCCACTTAAAGGGCTACTGTCAGTGTATAATGCTATTTACCTTAGTTACTCAATTTTTATGTATTTATTTTTCTGAACGATGTCCTTTTGATATTGTATTTTTGTCAATTATGGAGCCCTATCTGCAGACTATTTGACATTTGTATATTTTTTTCTATAAGTTCCTTATACCAGTGTTCTGTTTAATACGCTTGACATTTGTGTATTGTTAGCCTTTTATTTTTTGTCAACTGTTCATACAGCTGTGTATGGTTGGTATAAATTTAATTGAGAGGTTGTGCGGCAAAATGTGGGGAGGGCTTGTAGTCGGGAAGTTTGCGGGTTAAAGTGTTGTCTGATGTGGACCATTGTATCCGCATCTGATCTGGTTTTGGGGTGGAGTTTTGTGGGTTGTTGTGGTTTTTTTTCTTTTCTCTCTCCTTTCTCTTTATATTTATTTTCTTACTACCTACACTTATTCAGGGGGTGCAATCTTTTTCTATGTGCTTACAAGTAAAGAATATTTGTCTCTGACGGGGGTTTATATTACATTCACAACAGGGTTTTATGCCTTCTGTGATCAGTGCTACACTACCTAGTGGTTCACTTAGGTTCGCCAGCTGGAATGTCAAAGGGCTCAATTCACCGGTAAAACGTAATAAAATTCTTAATCTACAGAAAGAATATTTGTCTCTGACGAGGGGTTATATCACATTCACAACAGGGTTTTATGCCTTAACAAAACCCTGCTGCATTGCTGTGTGGTTTGGCAACAGCACAACACATGACAGAAAGGCTTTACAGAGGGTGATAATGCTGGCCCGGAAAATCACAGGGACTGATCTCCCCTCACTGCAGGTCATGTACAATAAAAGGATCTGCAAATGGGCTTGCAATATCATCAAGGACACCACCCATCCCATCCACAATTTCTTCACCCTCATGAAGTCTGGCAAGCGGTACCGGAGCACTGCGGCCAGAACATTCAGACTCCAGAACAGTTTATACTTAAAGGCCATTAGACTGATAAATAGTCAAAACCCACTGCCACTTCCACCTGTATCATCAGGATAAAATCAGCCTGTTCAATGGCACTCTGCACTTTACCTGCTGGACCTTCATACACTCATAACGCATTTGACTGACATCATGGACAATTTAAACACTAGTCTTTACACTGACACTTTATCACCACTTGACACTTTAAAATGGTCACTTTATTGCTACTTGCACTGCACATTTTTACTGTGAAGAATCCTTTATTGACCGTTGTTTTTCTAATTAACATATGGGTTCTGTTTTTCTTTTTCTTTCTCTTTCATCGCTTTCTTTTTTATGCTATTATTATTTATATTTTTACTTACTTTACTGTATATTCTATATTTTTTACATATGTTGTATTGTCCGTGTAAGTTACATTCGTTTCCCTTCTACCCTGTCATTCTCGAGAGGAGTAAACAAAGTAAGAATTTCATTGTACTCTAGTACATATGACAATAAAGCTCTTGAATCTTAATCATTTGAAGCATTTAAACAGCAAAATAGCTTTTATTCAAGAAACTCCCCTTACGATTGCAGACCACTTAAAGATCAAAAGGGACTGGGTAGGCCAGCTTTACCACTCTTCCTTTTCTAGTAAGTCACGGGGTGTGGCTATTCTTATACATAGGTCAGTCCCATTTTCTGTGTCCAAGGTTATCTTGAAATTTTAATAATTGGTCCCCCATCTCTAGTAAAAAATAAAATTGATGTTTCTGGCTTTGACCTTGATGCTATTACTATTTTTCCATCGGCTACTGTTAGAAACTTAGGTATCATTCTAGACCCATCACTGACCTTGGATGACCACATTAGCAAACTCTCCAAAGCTGCTTTTTTTCAACTACGTCGAATTGCGCAAAACATATTATATTATTATTATCTCCGACCCAAATGGACGCTTTATTATTATTATCACAGGCCATATTAACGGGGTGTGTCTAGTGTTAGCGAATGTATACGGACCAAATTGGGACAATAACATTTTTTTTTTAAAGAATTTCTTATTTTCCCTCCCTGATTTCAATTCTAGCCAACTTATTTTAGGTGGAGATTTTAATT